CGACTTTGTTGTTGATGGTGACTTTGTTGTTGGTTTTGTTGTTGACGGCGTCTGTGTTGTTGGTTTTGTTGTTGATGGCGACTGTGTTGTTGGTTTTGTTACTGATGGCAATTGTGTTCTTCGTTTTGTTGCTGGCTGTGTTGTTGGGTTTGTTGTTGACGGCGCCTGTATTGTTGGTTTTGTTGTTAATGGCGTCTGTGTTGTTAGTTTTGTTGTTAATGGCCACTGTGTTGTCGGTTTTGTTGTTGATGGCCACTGTGTTGTTGGTTTTGTTGTTGATGGCGACAGTGTTGTTGGTTTTGTTGCTGACGGCGACTGTGTAGTTGTTGGTTTTGTTGTTAATGGCGTCTGTGTTGTTGGTTTTGTTGCTAATGGCCACTGTGTGGTTGGTTTTGTTTTTGACGGCATCTGTGTTGTTAGTTTTGTTGTTAATGGCCACTGTGTTGTCGGCTTTGATGTTAATGGCCATTGTGTTGTTAGTTTTGTTGTTGACAGCGACAGTGTTGTTGGTTGTGTTGTTAATGGCGCCTGTGTTGTTAGTTTTGTTGTTAATGGCCACTGTGTTGTTGTTTTTGTTTTTGACGGCAACTGTGTGGTTGATTTTCTTGTTGAGGGTGTTATTGGTTTTGTTGTTAACGGTGACTGTGTTGTTGGTTTTGCTGTTAACGGTGGCTGTGTTGTCGGTTTTGTTGATGATGGCCACTGTGCTGTTGGTTTTGTCGTCGATGGTGATTGTGTTGTTTGTATTGTTGTTGATGGCGACTGTGCTGTTAGTTTTGTTGTTGACGGTGATTGTGTTCTTGGTTTTGTTGTTGATGGCAATTGTGTTGTTGGTTTTGTTGTTGACGACTTTGTTGTTGATGGTGACTTTGTTGTTGGTTTTGTTGTTGACGGCGTCTGTGTTGTTGTTGGTTTTGTTGTTGATGACGATTGTGTTGTTGGGTTTGTTGTTGACGACTTTGTTGTTGATGGGGACTTTGTTGTTGGTTTTGTTGTTGACGGCGACTGTGTCGTTGGTTTTGTTGTTAATGGCGTCTGTGGTGTTAGTTTTGTTGTTAATGGCCACTGTGTTGTCGGTTTTGTTGTTAATGGCCACTGTGTTGTTGATTTTGTTGTTGACAGCGATTGTGTTGTTAGTTTTGTTCTTGACGGCGACTGTGTAGTTGTTGGTTTTGTTGTCAATGGCGTCTGTGTTGTTGAGTTTGTTGTTAATGGCCACTGTGTTGTTGGTTTTCTTGTTGACGGCGACTGTGTTGTTGATTTTCTTGTTGAGGGTGTTATTGGTTTTGTTGTTGACGGTGACTGTGTGGTTTCTTTTTTTGTTGATGGTGACTGTGTTCTTGATTTTGTTCTTGACGGCGTCAGTTTTGTTAGTGGTTTTGTTGTTGACGGCGAATGTGCTGTTGGTGTTGTTGTTGACGGCGACTGTGTAGTTATTGGTTTTGTTGTTGACAGCGACTGTGTTGTTGGTTTTGTTGTTGATGGCAACTGTGTTGTCGGCTTTGTTACTGATGGAAACTGTGTCGTTGGTTTTTTTGTTGATAGCGACTGTGTTGTTGGTTTCGTTGTTGATGGTGACTTTGTTGTTTGTTTTGTTGTTGATGGCAACTGTGTTGTTGATATTGTTGTTGATGGCGCCTGTGTTGTTGGTTTTATAGTTAATGGTGACCGTGTTGTTGGTATTGTTGTTGATGGCGACTCTGTTGTTGGTTTTGTTGTTGATGGCGACTGTGTTGTTGGTTTCGTTGTTGATGGCGACTGTGTTGTTGGTTTCGTTGTTGATGGTGACTTTATTGTTGGTTTTGCTGTTGACGGCGACTGTGTTGTTGGCTTTCTTGTTGATGCTGACTGTGTTGTTGGTTTTGCTGTTGTTGACGTTTCTGTTGTTGGTTTTGTAGTTGTTGATGGCGACTGTGTTGTCTTAGATTTAGTTTGTGATGGTATCTTTGATGTTGGTGCTGTTGTTGACTTTGTCGTGGAAGTCATTGTAGCTGCAGAGCGGTAAGTAATCAGATTTTTATTGGAACAGCAGATACCATTTTGTATAAATGATGAAATTATGCGGCATCCTATTGCGAATAATTTGCAGCAAGGTAGGATATAGGATTGATATAAAAAGGTATAACATGGCTCGCCATGTTCACAAAAACTTTATGAAAGGTAGCGTTTATTCGACAAATATACGACGCGTTTAATCTTTCTCTACGCATGCTTTAAGCGAACGGGGGGAGAACCTCCCCTTTTAGCTTATATGTTCCCGAAAACAATATGAAAGGTAGCGTTTATTCAACAACAATACGGCGACAATACGACGTGTTTAATCTTTCCCAATGCGCATTTTAATTGATATGTTTCCAAAAGCCAATAGGTGATGTAGCGTTTTTTTTCAGCAAACATACGCTAAGTTATATCTTTCCCTACACAAACCTATTGGACTTTTAAATATACATGATAGCAGTAAAATATGTGCATCAAGTGATATACAAATAGAATATCTGACTTAAGATACTACATTAACAATATGAAAGTCATAATTGTGTCTATAATAAAATACCTATTACAGTATGCATGCAATATGGATACTATCATCAATTTTGCATGGAATCAGCAGGGAAAGTATCACTGCTGTTGAATATTCGTTCCTTCTTATAAAGCTACAAGCAAAAGGAGAGTTAGTAAGTAAAATATCTTTAAGGCAAATAAAATTTAACATCACAATAAGTGAATTGAAATGTCGTTTGATGAATTGCAAGATGATTCTGTCAAATCATATATTTTCAAGATCTACGTTGAACATTCAGCTGCAGTATTCTTCGATTGTTAACAAAGACACGGTTCTACATACCTGTTGCCTGTGTGATCAGAGAGCAGGTTGGATCGTCCATCTGGTCGGGAAATACGTTGCATGAAAATGGTAAACTCAACCCAACCGGTGAGCATCTTGCGTGCATTTCCTCACAGGAACTTCTGCACAGCTGTATCTGCAGTCGAGAAGAAGTAATAAATGAATCACAATTACCTGTAATTTTGAGTAATGCCTATATATACTTAACACTGACATCGATTTATGAATGATATAATGCAGGAGTATAACATGCACATTGCAATGGAATGGATACAAGTTACGAAAAGTTAGTAGAAATTCTTCAATCAGTGACTGTATTTGAAGAATTTCTACTAACTGTTAATTCTACGTGACTGATGAACCTCTTCAACGAAGTTACGAAAAGAGTTGACTACACAAAAGATTCAATATTTCTATGTGTAACAGTCAAATTTATTCTCCTACCTGCGTGCCATTGTCACACTGAGGCAAAAACATCCGACAAAAGGCTGTATAGACGTCTGGATAGCAACTTGAAATGTTGTTTAGGACGGATCCGAAGAGGAAGTACTCTCGTGAGTTTATCATCTGCTGTGCAGACAGATGGCCAAAGGAGTTGGGGAATGATGTTGTGTTGTACCCGGTGATTGTTTCGCAAACGCCCTGAAATACTTGAGGAAAGGGCTCGCAACCACCTGTAGAAAGGAAACATGACAGATAAAGCTGATTATAATGTAATAATATGATTATGAAAATCCTGTCCCTCTTACTCATACAAATAAATATACAATTGTAAACGAAGCTGCGTGCGATGACTGGCTGGACCAAACGTAGAGACAGATCTAGACTCAATCGCAGATGAGAAGACCTGAGACCTAGCCACAGCCTGGGAGAGGGCATAGGACAGAACCAAATGTTTTGATTCAAGTAAGCAATTTCAAGGTAACCCTTACACATTTAATGACGTACGAACATTTTGAACTTAATTCGGGATAACCGTCCTTGGGCGTAACGGTCGGCATCGAAGCAATGCTAGAAGAAGTAGCACACAATCTCAAATGTTCACACGAAGTACGCATCTACGCATCTATATCTTATCAGATATAGTCTCACGGCGTCAAGGCAACAGTTAACTTTACCAGATTCTGGCTCAAGACATTCCCCGTCACCCCTGCTCGGCAGATCTGCACAGCTTCGTGGCCATTCTTCGCCGATAGCCTGCAATGGAGCTTCACAGCTGGCTTGGACTTCTTCACACAGTTCTCGGCATTGTGGAACCTGAGAAACGAGCAAGGGAGCAGAATTTAGGACACTTCATGTCATTGCCGCCAGCTTCATGATGATGTAGAGAAAGCTTTGCTTTTGATGATGTGCAAAAGGGCTAAAACAAAGTCATGTAAAAGCCCACTAGAAATGATGATGATGCATTTTACAGTTACACTAGCAGTGTCTAGATCTTCTCTTTTTATTCGTATAGTACGTACCAGCTGGTCATCTTCGCACTTTGGAAACACTGTTGTGCACATGAGGAATGTAAAAGATGGGTGGCATCCCGATACTTGGTTCAAAGCGAAGGCAGCCTGGACAGTTGATGTCTCTGAGGTATGGTTTAGGTAGTTCGGTAACGATGTGTTTCCATACGGCAGGAGATGGGTACAAATGGATTGTACTGTAGGAGGGATGGGTCGGCATACACCTGTACAGAAATAAAACAAAACGCATATCTAAAATTATCTTCAAACATGGTCACTTCCACAAGAGAGTAGATAACCACTGGGCTTCGGAGGACTAGAATGTCACCCGATTTTAATCTATTCGCTTTGGAATACCATAGAGAATATGATGTGTTTATTGAATGGAGCAGGATGGCATCTTTATGCAAGAATCAATCGTTAAAACACTAGCTCACCGGGAGGATCATTATTCATGCAAAATCCTGGGAACTCGTCGGTGCCATCACTGCAGTCTGGAACTCCGTTACAAGTCTTCACCCAGGAAATGCACTCTCCGCTAAACATGCACTGGAACTGTGTACATCGCTCTGTTCAAGGGAAACAGAAATATAGCAATACATGATACATATTATTGAATAGTTTTGTGTATCTGGCCCAAAGTTATGGTATTGTCCAAAGAAAACGTAGATGCATTTTGAACACTTTGTCTTAGATTAGGGTCCAAGTACGTTTTGCGTATCACACATAGAGAAAACATGCTGCAAGCATTTTATATTGTCCTTATCAGTAGCCTTTATACATGTAGGCTTAGATTATGTTTTAATCTTTAAAAAAAAATGATTTTTAGCACTTCAGCTCTGGTCGGATGGGACAGTAATACATTTATGTAGCCTATATGCATGATGTACTGCTTTAGACAAACTAGCTCATTTGATCTTACCAGGGGTGGTGCTTGGCCGTTGAGTGGTAACTGTTGCAGTAGTGGCTGTCGTGTTAGGTTGTTGAGTAGTTGTATGGATGGACAAATTTACATAGTCAATGGCCTAGCATTGTATATCATACTTTAGTTTAAACTGAATGTCATTATTTGTATTTGAGATATGGCACTTAGTAAATGGAATATCAATCTGCAATAAACCCCCTTGGAACGGAGTATAAAGTCAATCAAATCAAATTACACAAAAAGCAGTATCATAAGATCAAGAAAACAATAGACATTGGGAAAGCCAGGAAGTATATTTTAGCACACAAATAGACAATGGGACTTACAAAAACCTATTGGACTTTTAAATATACATGATAGCAGTAAAATATGTGCATCAACCATGCTCGTAGCCGCTAAACTTTATCCAATGAGCCTAACTTGAACAGGACGGCAGGGATGGTCTACAGGCCCGAAGATAGCCCACCCAAACCACGACAGGAGTGGACACAAAAAGCCACAAATACCTTTGACATACGCAGAATAAACGGCAAGTAAACGCAACAGAATACGCCAACGTTACGCACACTTTATGGGTAATAAAGACGCAGTTTAAGCTAGCTGCTGAAAGTCAACTGAAAATCCGAAAAATAAGCACCATATACGCAACAAATGACTACCTTTACACACACGTATATTGGCCGTAAAAATGCTTCAATTAGAAATAAACGTGAACTTTAAATACGTTATAAGAGCATTTTAAAAAGTATTTATGGCAACTTAAAGCAGCTGAAAGGCTACGTGAAAACCGGAAAATACGGATCCATCCGCACCTATCCATCATCTTTACACACACTTATATGTGCCGTAATAAATGCTTAAAGAATGAAAATACGTTAACTTTACTTACAATTTGAAAATATTTTAATCATCATTTAAGACATCTTTAAGGGCTTAAAGGCTACGTGAAAACCGGAAAATAAGGATCCATCCGCAGCTACGGAAAGACCACGTCACGTCGATCTTTACGTACTCGTATAAGACGTGTATAGATGCGTATTTACGGATGCTTAACTTAAGCATCCGTAAATACCGTTTTTCGTGCCATGTATCCTCTCTCAATGATTTTTCAAACGCCCCTGTACTTTCAGAACAAGCTGCTAGGAGGCCCAGACATTTCACTTCTTTCCGAGAAAACAAGCTATGAACCGTCCAAAGTTCGTGACCTTAGCATGTCCAGATCACGAGATATCAAAACCGTTCCAGTACTATAACAAGTGCCCCAAGTGCTAGGCAGCCCCAAAGTCTACACATTATGAGGTCTCATGAAGACCTACTAACCTACCAAGATTCTTTAAAATCCATCCCTAGCTTCTTAAGTTATCGTGCTAAAACACATTATATACCTGTGGTCAAAATTCCTGGTGACTGTGTTGTTGGTTTTACTGTTGATGTTGACTGTCTTGTTGTCTTTGCTGTTGATGTTGACTGCGTTGTTGTCTTTGCTGTTGATGTTGACTGTGTTGTTGGTTTTGCTGTTGATGACATCTCTGTTGTTGGTTTTGTTGTTGTTGATGGCGACTGTGTTGTCTTTGATTTTGCCCTTGATGACATCTTTGTCGTTAGTGCTGTTGTTGATTTTGTCGTGGAAGTCATTGTAGCTGCAGAGTGGTAATAAATGAGATTTTTATAGGAACAACAGATACCATTACGTATAAATGATGAATTTATGAATCTTTTATCATTTTTCACTTTCTTGGTTTGTTGGTGATATTTCCCGGTGTTAAGCAAATGATGCCAATAGCGGAGTGATGATTCTATGCCTGTATTGTGGATTATTCTGACCCAAACTAAATGACTCTGACTTTAAACTTAAATGTCCTTAAAAACCAATTAATATTTACGCGGCACACTATTGCGAATAATCTGCAGCAAAGCAGGATATAAGATTGATATAAAAAGGTATAACATGGCATGCCTAGTAATGTTGAGCAAAAAGTAGTGCGTAAGATTGGATATCTGTACAAAATGACTCGTACATTTTCGGGACATCATCGTGACTTAGTCAAAACTGAATGCAAACGAAGTAGAAATATCTATCTACACAAGTTTTATTCGTTGCACCAAGACTACAGTGTCTTTTGTGTAGATATATGGGCTTTAAGACTTACATTCAGTGCACTCACACCAGTGATTTCTGTTGTTGGGGTTTGGAGCAAAGTAGCGGTGGTCACAGTTGTTTCCTTCACACATGATGTTCGGACAAGGTGGATCGGGCGGTTCTTTACAGAAGGACAAAGAATCTGCGTCACTTCCAACACTATGATTATGGATTATGAATCCTCTAGCTTGTGCTTTGTTTGTAACATGAACTTCTAACTCTCATATGAAGGCATGACATTTCACTGTTTAAGCATTTAATCTGCTTTTGTTGTGATAAAAGTGAAGGGTACAATTTTCCAAAACCTTATTTTAGCACTCAGGCCATGTTGATTTGATTATATGCGCGGGCATGAATTTTCGTCCGTTTCCAAAAAAGTTTTCGACCATACTGTAAATACAAAGCAACTGCAAAATTAGCAAATATGTGTCGAAGATTGCAAAAAGATATTGGAGAACGATACTAATGTCTTAGAGTGCCAAAATCAGTTCCAAAGGAAAAGAAGGACATGTGAAGAAATGAAAATAAAGATTTTATTATTCACCATACCATACTCTGTGTGTTTGGTCATTTGTTCAACCATCATGACCACGGACGTAGCTTTCATGATGGAGGTATTTTTTGCCAATTTTTTTATTCTCACGTTCGCATCAGTTTTGAGGTTCCCTGAAGATGTCATTCATGTAACGAAATCAACATGGCCTCATTTACCCTATATCCAGTTTTCCTGGAACATAATTAATGCATCTAGTAGTGATCTACAGTACAATTTTGTAATGATCGCTATGCAAAAACATGCAACGATCCTGTTTGTTTGTTCCTCTAAATTTACTATACAGAATATATAGGAAGGCAAAAAGGTGCAAACAAATTGATAAGTTACTATCCCAAAATACAAGCTTGTAAGACAATGCAACACAATGTAGATTATATTACGTGGAAATAAGTTAGTTATAAGTTTGTATAATGTACAACGTAATGATAATAATGCGTTATGATATCAAATGTTGTAATATCAAAACTTACCAGAGGTACACGATTTACAGTTAGGATTACCGTTGCTGTTGCTGCATGCTGGATGCTTTCCCTGGGTCCAGTCTAATTTAGAAACAAAACATAAGACGAATGACTCAGATTTACTGCCAAATAAGACTGGCAACATAAAAAGACATTGCCATGGTGACGGTAGTCTCTGTGTGTTCGCTTTTCACTTGTCACTACTCATACTCATGTACTATTTCCTCAATTTATGCAAATGAGGTCCTGATTTGAATGACTTATGTTTAATGATGCAAATGCATGAGGTTCCCATTAGTTAAAATTTTGGAATTATACAACTTTCTCACCAATTATGCAAATGACATCTTCATGTAAATAACCAATATCTTCCGACGTTCCTCTCGTTCTAAATTGCATCTATCACAAGTTTGAAAATAGTAGAACACTGAACTTTATTCCAACACAAGGGTTACAGAGCGATCAAATTTTCGTAAAGTTTGAAAAGTTTTATCTTCAAACACAGCAGATTTATAGAATTTCCTCATTAATTACGCAAATTAGATCCTAAATTGCATAGTTCTTATCTAATTATGTCATCACTTAAGCTACCTACGTACCAAAAATGACCAGGATCCATCAACTGGTTCTGGAGTTATCCTCCCTCAATGATTTTTCAAACGCCCCTGTACTTTCAGAACAAGCTGCTAGGGGGCCCCAGACATTTCACTTCTTTCCGAGAAAACAAGCTATCAAAGTTCGTGACCTTAGCATGTCCAGATCACGAGATATCAAAACCGTTCCAGTACCATAACAAGTGCTAGGCAGTCCCAAAGTCTACACATTATGAGGTTTTATGAAGACCTTCTAACCTACCAACGGCGGTGATGTGGTCATGCCGCAGTCACAATTTCAAGATGGTGTGGCCTATCCAGGCGCTGAACTGACTTGGCTCTAAATTCGGGTGGGGGTGGGGCACTGGGTTACAGACACATTTCAAAACTTATGCACCGCCTGATACGGCTTGGATCCAGCGTACAAACTAAATTAAAACCAAATCTGACCTAAACGAAAAATGACTGAATTCACATGGGAATCACTCGTTCGTTGCTCTATTCTTCTGAAAGCTTTGATAGCAGCACCCCCTTTTCCCCACTACTGGCCACGTTCATGATACGGATGTCAGTGAATGTTGGAAAGCGTGTTGCGTCCTTTGTAATGATTTAAAATAGATAACCCTGCTTACCCATGATTGCTTGTGACACAGCGATAGGTTTTAGTATATATGTTACTTATTAGTATGCCGGTTTCGCACCTCAGAAGTCTGTGAAGGAGGCTAAATATATTTATGGGTTCACCACACCACGAAGTGGTGTGGTGAACACTCACACACTCACACACACACACAAACACACATACGCACACACACACACACACGGACACGACACACGACTACACACACACACACACACACACACAAACACACACTCACACACACACACACACACACACACACACACACACACACACACACACACACACACACACACACACACACACACACACACACACACACACACACACACACACACACACACACACACACACACACACACACACACACACACACACACACACACACACACACACACACACACACACACACACACACACACACACACACACACACACACACGCACGCACATACACACACACATACACACACACACACAAACACAAACACACACACACACACAAACACACACATACACGCACATACATACACACACATGTCACACACACACACACAAACAAACACACAGCACAAGGAAGTAGAGACAGGCGTAAGGTTGCTGCTATTGTTGTTGTTGTTGCGTTTTACTTAGTTAATTTACATCGTTGACAAGTGCATGTGCATATATCGTATTTGTTATAGAACGTGTTACCTGTTCCAGTTGATTGGCCCATCCCTTTGGCTCCGGCACAAAGCAAGTACAGCACGAAAATAGCCGTGATGAATCCGGTAGAGACCATCGTTTTCATGTAGTCCGTTTGTCCATGACGCGCCATACGAATTCTTGCCGTTCTATGAGCTGTGGATGTCTTCTGTGTCGTTTGAAGTGTTTACCTTCAGACAAACAAGTAGTCACAGCATACGAAATCCGTGTTTTCTCAGGAGGAAATGTAGATCTATTGAGAACCCTGTTAATCTAACCTCGGCACTGATAATGTCGTCACACCCGGTCGGACGAGGTGTCTCTTTATCTTGTCATCGTCGAAGCTTCAGGCAAAATGTATACAAATTCCCCCTTAATTACTACAATGTCGTCTGGTGACGTGCATGGTTTCGTCACAAGGTTACTAACTAAAGGTTTGTTTACATTGAAAGAGACTAAGTTAGGAAGATAAGTGGTCCGTAGATCACCACAAATACACGGGTTTGTGTGCTGGTTTGTGTACTGAAGTCCTCAGATGAATGACACCGTTAATCGGTGACTTTCCTGTGTTTGATAATAGCTTTCGTGGCGGCAAACAATTTAAGGTATTTGGGTAGCCAGGTATTTATAGATTAAAGTAGGGAACAATGATTCGATATTAAATGACTTGTTTTTCCATTATGATTTCATTACTGTCATGTACAATCCTACATTTCTCATTGAAACCTCTTTAAAAAGAAAGTGAGAGACTAGGGTACGAAAACGTTGTGATGCTGTAATAAACGAGAAAGGAAAGTCCGTTTACAAATATTTATTTCTATATCAACCTTACATGCACACCCTATATAATAGTGTAAACGTAGGAATCATCATCATTAAGGTTTCATCATGTACTGTAATATATAACGTACGGTAATGATATTTCTAACTTGAGCGTGACCGTGAGCATCTACTGTCATAAGTGTCATAAATGAAATGATTGATATAAGTTTAAAAAACCAACTCTAGCTCCTACATACATGTAATGTTTTACCTGTACACGTACCTTTTACGTGTTGTACCTAGAGTAGTATTGCAGTGATATTACAATATCAAATGCTAACAGTTACTAAAGTTATCGATAACTTAGAGAATGATAGTTCATGGTTCTTTGCAATATATATATATCATCCTCATTGACACCTACTGCGCAACAGGCCTACAGACTTACAGTGCCATATATCTTTATAAGACAGTCATTATCGGATAGGACTGTTCAGCCAAAGCTGAAGCTATAGGGCTGTCAGGATGTTACCATGGTCAATATTGATTTGAGGAGGCTGTGTATATGAATTCTACTACAAGATATCTGCAAGTTTGACATACATGTTTCTCATCGTGCGTGAGGAAGAATAAACCAAAAATTGCCCTCCTACTTAAGTCATACAATCCATCTAATATTAGTATATATTATAAAAAAAATTAGTAGATGAAGTAGACATAGATTTTTGTTTCCCTTTTTGTCCTGTATATGTGTATATATTTCATATATTTTCTATATTTCTATGATTGCACTTAATTTAAGGGAATGGGTTTGCAAAACGTGTATTCAACGTTTTCGCTCAGCAAGTCACCTTCAATTGAATCTAAGCCGGTCCCCCTGCTTTGTATATGACATTGTCTACTGAGCCCTCGGTCCCGGCCCCGTCCTCGTAGATGGAATTTTCTACGAAACCCTCATCGTCCAGTTTATCAAGGGTGTCTTCTGAGGACATGTTTGTCTGGAGGGAGCCGTGCGTGGAACTGTGGCTGTCCTTTGTGTCTGTGAAGTCACCCAGCCAGATCTGCAGGGACAATATAACTTTATTTTAAATTCATGTTTGAATTGAGTTCAATATGCAACAACGAAAATACCATGTGTTGTCCGAAATGTAAAATGTTTCCGCCATTATTAATATAGCATAATGCTAATACTATGAAGGTCAACACATTTATAATATATGACAAAATAGAACAAACAGAACAGAATAGACATGTACGACATCTGTCTCATTACCTTAACTTTTAATTGTATTTAAATGGATCACGGCTCAAGAATACCGAGAATTTTTCATGAATTGATTTCTTTTTTCTTGTACTGCAAAGATGTAATAGCGGTTACTTGAGGAGCCCAGAAGATGTTTAAATATTCGTAAAGGTCGACATATGATTCACTGAAGTGCAAAAAAGGACACCAATATGGCGACAGGCACTGATGACGTCACAAATGATGACATAATCACGCATTAATTTTCTCACCTCTTGTTGCTGTGGAGCCCTTGCAGTACGTCGGCTCTGTCTCTTCGCCGTTTTCTGCCTTTTCTTCTTGGACCAGCAGGGGCATCGGACACCAAACCGGCGTTCGATCTCATCTTGAACCTAACAGTTTAGTAGCAAAGATAATTGTTAGTTGCGTCGACATCATTGCAAAACTATCCGGCGTTGCATTGGGAAATGCCTTTAACTAGTTTTAATAATCACGTCTAAAAATCGTCAGCGAAAAAGATATCTATATTTTGAATTCATAACTGGGTTAGACAAACCTCACCATTTCGTTCAGCAGGCAGTGGAAGATGAAAATGAATAAACCCTGGAAGAGATTCACATATGGTATACTTTAAGTAACAATGGGTTTAAACATATAGACATCGTCATTACCATTATATTGAAACACAGCTTACCTATAGACTTCCCAGAATAAGAAAGGGAACGCTAGTAATAATGACATAGTTCAAAGAATACAAAGTAAATTGAGAGCTCGAATTTGTAAACATGATGGTGTTGACATATTATCGAGTGTTGTTGAAACATTACAGTACATTTTAATATGTAGGCAAAAATAGATCACATGCGACATTTCATGGGCATTATTAATGATACATACTTGGAGGGAGTTGATGACGGTGAAGACGTAGGCAAACACCAGGGTCTCGCTACTGATGTACAGCACACCGAACACCCAGGTGAGACCCAAAATACACACCAGGGCCAGCGACACGCGGATCCAGAACCTGCAAATATTCAATAGCCTTCTCACAGTTCTGGGTAAGGTGAAATGTTAAGTCGCTCAGGATTAAACAATACCCACGTGGAAACGTCGCAAGCACATGTAGACAAAGAATTGTTTACAAATGAGAATTCTTCAACTTTGACCTTAGACCACAATACATGACAATAGCACACGCAAAATGTACATTAGTATGGAACTGTGCGTAAGACAAATAACTAGAACGTTACCAATGACTCTTCTTCAAAGGAACCATAATTTGTTGTCCACATTCTTTTGAATTATATTGGGTGTATGTTATAAGCGCAGTTTTCCAATTATGTAACGTTTCAATCTACAATACTGTCATTTACAACTAAATGATCTTAAGTAACTGATGAAATAGGAAGTAACATTACTTGAACTCCATTCCCTGTTCTGATTGGTTGGATCTATCATGGGCTTTCTGTGTGTAGATCACCCTCATAGTCATGGCCAGGAATCCAACGTTTACCTTGATAGTGATACACAAGGAAACATCAAAAAGCGTTTATATATTTATATCTCTACATATCCATATCAGTATTTAGATCTACCCATCTCTCTCTCTCTCTCTCTCTCTCTCTATATATATATATATATATATATATATATATATATATGCAGAGAGAGGTAGAAATAAACAAAAGGCAGAGACGAAAAACAGGGGGGGCGGTAGGAAGAGAGATTGATTTTAAAATTTAGCCCTATCCATACAATGTAAATGTACATCAAGAGTGAGAAAAGGCAACTGTCAACCTGTACTGAAAGGGCATTAGGTTACACGGATGCTACACTACACCTTTCATCAAATTTTATGCTCCAAGTTCTCATGTCCATCATTCCAGTGACTAAGGTTAAATCGAGACAGGGCAGATGCTATTGTTTTAGAGCTGAGGATATGATATAGTTACCAAAACCACGATCAGCATGGGACCCACAAAGCTCCAGATGAAGTAGTTGTTCACTGATAACCAGCAGCTGTAAGGTGATAAAACATATTTATGATTTTCAAATCAGTCACTGGCAGTCACAGTGTTTCGTAATTTAATGGCTCAACAATATTGCTAGTGTCTTGGACTAGTACTGTACCACTGTGTTCACAAAACAACTTTCTAGACGTCAGGACAGTATCAAAGGAAGCCATAACGAAACATAATATCATTTCGTACCCTTGCGATATTTTCTGTAGGTATATCCTTGTCCACCAAGCGACTAGGAAAATGTCAAGGGACTAGGCAGGTAGGTACGAGTAGGTATATCTGATAAGGGAATACATTACTATGTGTCTGTGCCGTAACCATCAAAGTATCCATCATCGTCATCGTCCTTCTCATCGGGCTTGTCTTTTTCATTGACATCAACAAAGTGATTGTAGGTAACTGAAATGGCTACCGCCAGTGCTGGTGCGCCTGACAAAAATATGAAAATATATATAGAAACATACTGCTTGGTCCGGCGACTATGTTCAGAAGACAGGTGATAGTAATAATTGTACATAACAAAACAAAATGGTCACAGATGTATATCCAATAATTATGAACACAGTCTAGGAGTATCGTTTTGCCTGTGGATGTGTTATGAAATTTTATCAATATTAATGTTGTCATTCAGAAAATATAATTATTATCAATGAATAAGCAAGTGGTGTTAGATATCCAGAGACACCGTATCACATTGATGTCATATTTCAGTAAAGCTATAAGAGACCAAACCTGTCTTACCATATCCGACCAGGTGATAGTAGATCAGCCTGTTCATTTTTAAGTTGAAGACCTTGACCAGTAAGACGTACAGCTCCACTCCTTCCACACACATCCAGGTGAACACGGCCAGGAACAGGTAGTGAAGCACGATGGCGATCACGTCACAAACAACCTGTGAAGTAACAATAGAGGAAAATGTAGTTGGGTATGTGGTAGCTATACTGGCAGAGTAATACAATGTAACATTACATGCTGGAGATATATCGTAACTATTCTGCAAGTATTGCACAATAGATGTGGTGTAAAATACATTTCATTTCAACATATGACCGAAAACAAACTAAGGCTATTCAAAACAGTTGCCACAATCTCCCCAAGCTTTTACCGTGCTTGTAAAACATGGGACATGTCATTAGACACTGTCTTCAAAGAGGTCAAATCCCACAATAATGAATGGTAGAAATATTAAGCTTAAGCATCACATTTTTGCACTATTAGTAGATTCACTGTTCCCTTGTGATTAGCCTCTGGGCACTAGTTTACAGATGAGTAAAGTTAATGTACCGCGTTTTCTGTTTTGTCGACTGCAGCTAGGAATACCACTTCAGCGACCAGCAGACAGATACACAGGTTTGCATGGATGATGGTTCTGGTGCAGCGGACTCGTCTGAAACAAGATGGCGGATACCAGAAACATGACCAATGCCATTCTAGTTGATATTGTTGCTACTGGTTTATAACTTTATAGCAACAATTGCTGTATGAATTTTTACAAGTACAAACGACAATTTAGAAAAGGTCTCACCTAAACCCAAGAAAGACGCAAATGCAGAAGAAGAGACACACGATGGAGATGATACAGCCGATGTAGGTGATCACACTCAGGGCGAATGAATGCTGAAAATATCATCAACAACTTATTTAGTTTCACCACGGAGTCGAGGATATTCGTTGCTTTGTGATCAAACCCAAGGGTGCTTAAACTGAAGAGGAACACTACAAAGGTTCCATGAATGATAGTTTGGTAACAATCTAAGACAGTAATTTCCTTATTTGACACACCTGTTCTCCTATCGTACTGTGCTGTCCTGTCGTGTCCAGCAGAATAGCGAAGCTTGTCAGATGGTTGCACTCACAGATCGTGTGGGTTGTGTTTGTCGTAGCCGTAGTACAACCCTCACCCGACCAATTGCTGCAACCAGAATGGTATACGTAGTAGCAATAAGGCCAACGTCACATCGGCATCATATGTTACATAAAATGTCAACATATAAAACAGTAATTAGAATGACATTAGTCAAATCTTTAGATCATGTTTACAAGTACGAAGCAACACTAACGACAATAGACACACCCACCCGTGGAAGACGTCCCAGAAAACACATAGTGTTGAACCGTTGGATGTCTGCAAGAAAAATGTGATCATACTGCATAGTTTTTCTACTTTTCAACTTCCCATTCAAATTTAGACATTTTTGTGATAAGATATAATAAATCATATATTGATATATAGATAATGAATCAATACTATGATGTAAGTGATAGTGAATAGGGAAGAAGTACCTGCTCGGTATGCTCCAAAACGATGGTAACATTACCATCGATACTGGGTCCAGTGGAAGAGTTTCCGTTTACTAGTGTAGTGTTTACTAGGGTTGCCGAAATGATCCTGGAGTTGACGGTCCTGTTGACTGACTTGGGTTTGAAGTACTGTCCTACATTTCTGTAGATTGCAGAGATGACATGATGTTGTGTTCTCGGCAGGGTGATTCCGTCTTTTACATCGGCCCAAAAAGACGAATTACCAAGATCCGGAAATGTGGCTGGTCTCGTAGTGCCATTCTTGATTGCCATCACTGTGTGTAGACATCATGCAACATTATTCAATCCTTGTCTAGCCCGGAATTTCGGCGGAGACATACAAGTACACTGAGCAAAACTGTGACAATAAGACATTATGAGCATTATATCATAATGATAATTATGATATGAGGCACCTTTGATATAACATTCTGTTACAGAATATTTGGTTTGGAAAGTGTGCACCGCAACTTGCACTGATCAATATCCATAGATAGAGTAATATGATCAACCGTGTAGATAGTGATATGTTCTGACTGGTGCAGAATATGTGCTCACGGTTTACCTATATTTTCATTCGCTATCCAGTGGGTTTTGTAAGGCACCACCCTAGCCAACAGGATAGCTGCCCGCTCGGAACTATCTAGGATTCCTGACGCCACTTCAGACCGGTGGTCCTATAAGGAACACAAGAAAGGTTATGGATGACTAACAGGCGTTTTCTTTTAGAAATACAAAGCAAATGCAACTTATTAGTTAGAAAATGTTAAATTCGGTGCTATAAACAATTTAACAAATAGTGTCACAGGTGAAAACAGTAACGTAACAATGGACCAACGTACCTCCGGAATAGATCTCCATGCGCTGTCAGTGTGGTTTTTCAACAGGGCATTTCCGATTGATATCATTGTCTGTCGTAAACAATGTCATAAAATTAATTGTCATAGATTGTCGTACTTTTGTTACAGTGAGTGATAGCTCGTATGTACAACGTTTACATAGATCAGCATATTACAGAATGCATCAAACTCTTCACAAATAATACCTTACATTTAGAATATCAATTATATTACATAAACATGTATCTGTGGAAAGATACCAAAGTTATCCATACCATATCCATATCATCATCATTAAAATCAAGAATCCCGTTACAAACCTCTGCAAACCTAATCGCCTCTTCTTTCTTCATTTGCTGTGAGTTATTGCTGAATCGATGTTCTTGATCTTCCACCAGACGACTGAGCAGCCTAATACTTCTGTGGATGTCGCCGCCACGTATGTTTTCCGTCGCGTTAACCAGACGCTCTCTTACACGAGAGAGGATTTCCACCGGGGCCACACCTTGTTTACGCTGTATTAGAAACGTAGACACATTGTTTATGACAAGATCTTAAAAGTTAATCCGTGTTGGGAGGATTCCCTTCTGAACCAAAATCTGTATGTGATAATTTCCAACACTCATTGAACACGGACTTCGATTTTCACAAGTCTTTGCCAAATAAATTGAGAATGGACAAGCTCCCAAGGTCAAGAACGTCGACTGTGTCGTCAAGACAGTCAAATAGAATACCTGGGACCATGTGTTGACAAAGTTACGTTCTTGCAAGAGGAGCGTTCTGCACAGGTAATTTTACTCAATCAGTTTTTGAGTTACCTGTTTTTCAAAGTCACAGACCCATTGCGATGTCTCATTTTGTGTGCAGTTCTCGTGCATATCTGCAAACAACAAAACGTGATCAGCATTTTGAGATTACAAAGATATTTACAAAGATGTTTTATACAGAGAAGTATCCTTTACTGTCATATAAAGGATATTTTCTGTAAACATATTTGGCGGCGAAAGATAGATAGACTATAAGTCTATCGATTGGATTGAATGGATTGAAAGACTATACCTATCTACATATACCTACTAATCAATCAATCTAGCTAGGTAGCTAGCTAGCTACAATGTAGATAGCTAGCTATACCTTCAAAGGCTACCTTCAAACTCTTAACCCATCACCACACGTTAATGAGGTTTTCGACATTCAATCAAATAGTTCGTATGTAAAAGAGCAGGCCCACCTCTATGTGAACTGCCGGTATCCACTGGAGGTGTGATGGCATCATCTGGAGGTGTGATGGCATAGTCTGGTAGTGTGATGGCATCATCTGGAGGTGTGATGGCATAGTCTGGTGGTGTGCTATATGTATCGTCGAAGGCATAGTCTGGAGGTGTGATGACATAGTCTGGTGGTGTGCTATATGTGTCGTCGAAGGCATAGTCTGGAGGTGTGATGACATAGTCTGGTGGTGTGCTATATGTATCGTCGAAGGCATAGTCTGGAGGTGTGATGGCATAGTCTGGTGGTGTGCTATATGTATCGTCGAAGGCATAGTCTGGAGGTGTGATGGCATAGTCTGGTGGTGTGCTATATGTATCGTCGAAGGCATAGTCTGGGGGTGTGATGGCATAGTCTGGTGGTGTGCTATATGTATCGTCGAAGGCATAGTCTAGAGGTGTGACATCGTCTAGTGGTGTGATGCCATCGCCTTGTGGTGTTGTGTTCGGTTCACAATCTGTGTCGATATCTGGAAAATGTAAACATACGTCGATATGTATACTCGAGGAATCACCAGTATTTGAATTTTGATGACTGCAAATAAAACAAACATTCCATTTGGCATTTCTAGCCTACAATGGCATTAACACTATTTATAGGCACTGATTGGGTGAATGGGATAATGATTGGGTCATTTCGGTAGTCGAAGGTGTAATATTTGACAAATTTCCCAAAAGTATTACACCTAATTTCAATTGTAATGCAAATATTGCATTGGAGGAAAAGCTGCAGAGCTACAGTCTATCTAGGATGGCTGTTTATTTACATAAAATTAAAGTACTCACGCGTACGCTTCCCCGTTTTTACTATGCGGAACAAGACACACCCAGGTTTTGTTAAAGGGTCTCCTGAAGATCTCGTGGCACGGCATGTGATGCTCAGACGAATCGTAAGTCCTTCCAACAGAGTGACGTCAGAAGAATTATTCCACTGAATTGACGACATACAAGTTAAATCAACATTATTTATACTATAGTTCGTTATTTCATTTCAGTCAAAGTTTTTTTTTAATGGTTAACGTTACTAGACTAAAGATACCGGTTATCATACCGGTCTTGGTATTTTGGAATACAAATGAACGTAAAATGGAAATGAAAACCTGATCCAAGTTAATTATACTCAGTTGAGTACCAAAGCCTCGAAAAGCTGCTATATGTAGGGGCCAAATCTACGCCACTTCTTTCTGACCCCAAAACTGTATATGTATCTGCCACCCAGTAAACAAAACAATGGAATGATTCAGAAGACATAGAAACCGAACGCTAGCTATACAGCTGCTGCATATCAAGACCTTCATTTGCACTTACATGAATTGACCAGTAGTACTTCCGTTCAGAATCATGTGGGTTCCTTGTGCCTTTCTCAATAGTAAAAAGTATGTCCCCTCCAAGTATCAACAAGTTAATCCACTTTCCGTCCTCCAAATATCTTTGCGCGTCAATGGAACAGTACCAAAGGTTTAACCACGACTCGGGACTAACGGACAATGTTGTTATTGTCCAGTCAGTTTTAAACCAGTTAACTGCGGCAGTTCTCCCTTGCAAGGGAGAGACTGTGTATAAACGCGATGTGTTGTTGCTAAACGTCCATTGACAGTCTACAAAAGAAAAAGGAAAGAAAACATGATCATGCATTCCATGAAACGATTAGTCAGGTTAGTCATAGGAAAACAGAAGGGTACATATGTCGACAAATCCATTACACATCTTAGCATGAAATTTCATCTGTGTTGGTATACTTCATTATGACAAATGGGTACGTCGCAATTTACTTAATGTTGGGCATGAGCCATGACGTTTCACCTTTTTGTCACAGTCAGTTCATCTCCCTCCCTTACAAAAACGGGACGTCCCATTTGAAGAAGTGCCCAAAGTTACTTCAGATAGACCGGCCAAACATCACCCCACTTTAAAATTGAATTTTCTCAATTTGAACGGCAATGCAATAATGGACTCTAACATACTCCCGTGTCCGATTGGTTCTTTGAAGTTACCCCTTCGCAATCCTTATTGCAAAAGATATACATATACTAAATTACAGTTCAGTCGGCTTTTATCAAATATATATGGATACGACAGATTTAACTGCATACCTACGTACGTGTATCCCCCACCCCCTGCTGCCTCATGTCTAGTGAAATGGGAGTACATGTCTACATATACGTTTGCTTTTATACTTTCTGTGAAACCCGCTCCTTAACATTCAGTTCAACATCGCAATTATGGTTTTCTGAACAGAAATGTGGCTTGTCAAAGAACGTGTGAGTACCTGATATGTTTTTGAATCCGTCATTTGCTGTCTCCAGCGTACAGTCACTAATCGAGCCGTTGTCATAAGAAGCAGTGGAGGTCTCTGTCAAGAATCCATCCTCCTCCTCGGAACTATCTGCCATAACTATATATATCCTGTCGTTGTAGCTAGAAAGGAAACACATGACTAAAACAGCCGGCATGAAGCCAGCAGTCGTTGGCATTTTGAAGCTGAAGATCACGTCCCGATGAAACCTTGTAAATACTCACTGTTCTAACCACTTTTTTTAAACAGTCAGTGGCCCTCCAGTGCGTGCAAACACGTCCAACTTGACGTTTTCCCGATGATGAAATACTAGCACTTGTTTTAGGTTGAATACATGAGCTATATCTCACTCACAAGACGTCTGTCTCTAGATTGCAAAAAGGGAACTTGTCAATAGGGAGGTTCCTCTCTGTGTTTTTCTCACGCACAACATGTTCCCTCACCAGCGTCACAATGACGTCTGCGTTACTTGTCCGACGGCTTTGCTTTGTTATTAAGGAAAATAACCTTAGGCGAACTGCCCCAAAATGCGACCTGAACAGATAACCTTGCTGTCTGCAGTGACTTACTCTTCTTGTGTACATTTATACGTCTAGTACCTGTGTGCGCGGGAGGGGCATTTTTATGGTCATTTCAGGCACTATAAGTTTAAGGCGACACGGTCAAAACTAATAGCATAGTATACCATACAGGATAAATAAAGTGGTGTTTAAAACACGCCTCGTCTGTTTTGGTTATTGTTGATGGAGGTGCTTGTTTAAAGCCTAGGTCACAATTTAAGAAAGGGGCCCGCTCGGCGCGAGTTCGGCCTGTTTTTTGGCACTAGCGAACGGGACCTGGACGGAGACCGGCGGGCTTCCCGACGGCTGCCGGCCTATTTTTGGCCCCGCGAGGTCGCCGAAATTAACTCAAACTTAAAATCACTTCGGGCCCCGTTCGGCAAGGTACGCCGAAGCGACGCCGTATATATAACCTCACTGCCCGGGACCCGTCGGGCGGCCGAACAGGCACCTGCCTAAGATTATGACGTCACATGTGCTGATCAGTGAATCTGGTGGTCAGGAAAAGGGGGTTATATGGGGCATATATTGATATTGACTTTTATTACGCAACAATGTACAAGGTACAAAGTATGGCAGAAATGAGAGAACAAATCTAACAAATCAGTCTACGTAGTACAATACTAGGTGATATGGGATGAAAAGGCGCTTATACAATCATTAAAAGAATTTCTTACGTTTAGACATTCTATAAACTTCTACCTCAGACTACGTCGCACAGTTCACCACGTGTGTGTTACACCGTGTACTTGTGTGTCAGAATGCCGAAGGGCAAGGGAAAACAGCCGAGACGATAGCCCGGCATACATGTACTTCAGGAATGAACAGTGATATTAGCGTAAATTACCACTAGCCAGTTGATTAGATTTGACAGATGACAGTAGCGGTAAAGTTAGTAGTAATTCTTAATCAAATTTCTAAGATAGCATTCTGGTTCTTTTAAACAAATATCCAATTAAGAAGTGGATATTTTAGACAATACAATATGATAAAGACAAGACAACATTGGTATAAAACTAATGAGAACTTAACAAAGATGGCAAACCACAGTAATAGCATACCTTAGCTCAAAACTGAACTGAAAACATGAATGATGTCACAATTACTTAAATGACTTGACATAGAGTTAGAAAAATCTACACTAAACAGGATTTCTGAAAACATGATATATAACGTTAAGTCAAATCTTAAAACCCATACATGTGCAGTGTACATTTAACTTACACCCATCTTACAGGGCTATGAAAATGATTTCTGACTCCAAATTGTCCAGTGAAACACATGTCCAGAAAATAAAAACATTGTATTCCACAGTTTGCAGAAGGTATATTTCCATGTAGTCACCAAAGACACATAACACTTCAAATAACTCCATTGAAAGAAAACGTATTGAAATGACATGGCATTGTAACACGTACCTTTTAAAGCTTCTTTGGAAAGGGGGTGGAATATCATTCCATTATGAAACTTAAAATCATCAATCATAACCACCCTTGAAAGCTTCAAGAGTGAAAAAAAGCCTGATAGCCAACAGGTTTGTACAATTAAAAAGGTACTGTACAACAATGTAGTGTAGGGATAGTACTTTTCACATTCAAAGTTTCACACAATTCATCAAAAATTTCCAGCATTGTATGGTTCAAATACCATTAGGCCACACCAATTTGATTTGTTGTTTCTCGGATTTTTTTCAGAAAAAATATGGAGCGACAGGGCCGGCGAAATAACAAAAAACAGGCCAAGGCACCCCATGATAGCCGGACTGTTACAACATGAGCCATGAAGTTAACATACCAGACTGGTTTATGATAAAAACAATAGAACTTTTAATGAAAAAAATTGCACTGTTGCATTGCAAAACTTTAACAACTAGGAAGAAAGGGAATTTCTTCAACCGTTGGGACCAATATATGTCTTTCATTGAGCATTTTGAAGTTAATTTAGAACAATTAAATTTTTTTTTTGGAAATTAGAAATAAATGGACAGGGCGAATCCAAGAAACAACAAATTAAATTGGTGTGGCCTTATATTAAACTGGAATGAGACTCTGAGTCAGTAACAGCTTGTCTCTCCTTGTCTAAACCGGAGTCCATGTTTTAAAAAAATGGTGAATTTAAAGAGAGCTACCAATTCGGCATCAGTGATCTCAGATATACATGTATGTGCCCTTCAGATATCCAGGTGTTCACATTCTGAAGAAAACCTTGATAATACTGTTTTTAAGGTGGTCTTAGGGTACACGACCTGAATTATGAGAGTTGATGTTACATCTTTGCCGTGACCCAGTATCTGATAAATCTACATTGTGTTCGCGTATGTGATGCGCAGTGATGCAGCAATTGAGTGTTCTTTGTGCCTCATAGAAAACCTTGATGTGATTTGTCTACAGAGGGATCTGTAGGGCTGCCAGGATTTTACCATGGTCAATACTGATTGAATGAGGACAAATATATGACATCTTCTTGAGGATGCCTACACGTTTGACATACTTTTTTCTCATCGTGACTGGAAGAAGAATATATGAAGTAGAAAGACAGTTTTGTTTTTCATTTCTGTCCTATTTCATATATTGTTCTATCTTGTTATGATTGCATTAATCTCAAGGGAATGGGTTTGCAATAAATCTTTCCTATTTAATAAAATGGTGTGTATGGAACGTTTTGTCTCAGTAATTTACCTTCTATTGAATCTAACCAGCTCCCCCTTCGTATATGACATTGTCTACTGAGCCCTCAGTCCCGGCACCGTCCTCGTAGGTGGAATTTTCTACGAAACCCTCATCGTCCAGTTTGTCGAGGGTGTCTTCTGAAGACATGTTTGTCTGGAGGGAGCCGTGCGTGGAGCTGTGGCTGTCCTTTGTGTCTGTGAAGTCACCCAGCCAGATCTGCAGGGACAATATTAGTTTTTTTTTCTTTTCTAAACTTTATGTTTGAATCGAGTTGAATATACAACAACGAATATACCATGTGGTGTCCGAATTGTAAAATGTTAATGCTATTAAAATAGTACAATGGTGTAAAAGTCAACACGTTAATACATACCAAAATAGCTAGCAAGACATAATGCATGCCAAATTAAATACCAAGACAGAACTAACCACGTACGGCATCTACCTCTCTAATTGCATTAAAATGGATCACGGCTAAAGACTGACAAGAGAACGAGGCTTTTTTGTGTTTCATGAATTGGTTTCGTTTCATACTTTTTTTTCATTTTCTTGTTTGTGCTGTATAGGTTTAATAGTGGTTATTTGACGTGGCCAGAAGATGTTTAAATGTTCGTAAATAAAGCACTGAAATGCAAAAAAACACCAATATGGCGACAGGTACTGATGACGTCACAAATGATGACGTAAAGCCCATCAATTTTCTCACCTCTTGCTGCTGTGGAGCCCTTGCAGTTCGTCGGCTCTGTCTCTTCACCGTCTTCTGCCTTTTCTTCTTGGACCAGCAGGGGCATCGGACACCAAACCGGCGTTCTATCTCATCTTGAACCTAACAGTTTAGTAACAAAAAATAATTGTTAGTTACGTCGATATCATTTCCAACTGAATGCTACAAAATGATACACCATTGCAAAACTAGGCGGTGTTGTGAAATTCCTTTAATTGTTTTTAATAATAAATCAAAATATATTATAATATAGATATAGATATCTGTATTTCATCACTGGCAAATAAAAATTCAAACCTTACCATTTCGTTCAGCAGGCAGTGGAAAATGAAAATGAATAAACCCTGGAAGAGATTCAGAAAAGGAGTATCAAATCAAAATTGGCTTTAAACTTAAATTAGATATCGTCGTCACCATTATAAAAAAACCTCCCACCTATAGACTTCCCATAATAAGGAAGAGAACACTGATAATAGTTCAAAGAATACAACAGGTGCTGAATACTCAAGTAAGCAAAGTTAATTGAAAGCTCGAATTTGGTAACATGATGGTGTTGGTATATTATCGAGTGTTGTTGAAACATCACAGTAGGTAGCGAATCTTGGGGAGCGGACGCAATTGTACAAAGCAGACAATGAAAAATACACGTACACCAAGTAAACTGTGGACAGAATATGGACAAATGGTCTACTACATGTATGGTCTACAACATCCACCAATTTGACGAAAGCTAAAAGGCTGACACTCAGGCTAACATCACAGTACAGTTGCGTTGGCAAAAGTAGATGACATGAGACATTACATGATGAGTATTATCAATGATACGTACTTGGAGGGAGTTGATGACGGTGAAGACGTAGGCAAACACTAGGGTCTCGTTGCTGATGTACAGCACACCGAACACCCAGGTGAGACCCAAAATACACACCAGGGCCAGCGACACGCGGATCCAGAACCTGCAAATATTCAATAGCCTTCTCACAGTTCTGGGTAAGGTGAAATGTTAAGTCGCTCAGGATTAAACAATACCCACGTGGAAACGTCGCAAGCACATGTAGACAAAGAATTGTTTACAAATGAGAATTCTTCAACTTTGACCTTAGACCACAATACATGACAATAGCACACGCAAAATGTACATTAGTATGGAGCTGTGTGTAAGACAAATAACTAGAACGTTACCAATGACTCTTCTTCAAAGGAACCATAATTTGTTGTCAACATTCCTTTAAATTATATTGAGTGTATGTTATAAGCGCAGTTTTCCAGTCATGTAACATTTCAGTCTTCAATACTGTCATTTTTACAACTAAGTGATCCTAAGTAAGTGATGAAATAGGAAGTAACATTACTTGAACTCCATTCCCTGTTCTGATTGGTTGGATCTGTCGTGGGCTTTCTGTGTGTAGATCACCCTCATAGTCATGGCCAGGAACCCTATGTTTACCTGGAGAAGCAGACACAGGGAAACATCAAAAGGTGTTTATATATCTATATCTCTATATATCCTTATCTGTATCTGTACCTATCTACAGTATCTATATATATACAAAGAGAGGTAGAGACAAAGAAAAGGCAGAGAAGAAAAACAGGGGGAAGAGAGGAGAGAGAGATGGACTTTGAAATTTGGTCCATCTATACATGTAAATGTACATCAAAGGGGAGAAAAGGCAACTGTCAAGCTGCACTAAAAAGGTACGACGTCAAACGGATGCTACACTACACATTTCATGAAATGCTCCAAGTTCTCTCACAGTTTCTAAAAGGCTGTACATTTGTGATATAGGATATGACCCGTATCAAGATGTATCGACGTACTTATCTTCAATCTGGCATTATTACCCGATATGTATTAAACCATGTCCATAACGACTAAATTTGAATTAAATCAAGACAAGCAGATGCCATATCATGATTGTTTCAGAGCTGAGGAAAGGATGATATTTACCAAAACCACGATCAGCATGGGACCCACGAAGCTCCAGATGAAGTAGCTGTTCACTGATAACCAGCAGCTGCAAAGTGATAAAACATATTTATGATTTTCACATCAGTCACTGGCAGTCAGTGTTTCGTAACTCAATAGCAACAATATTGCTAATGTCTTGGACTAGAACTGTACCACTGTGTTCATAAAACAACGTTAAAGACGTCAGGACAGTATCTAAGGAAGCCATAACGAAACATAAAAATATCATTTCGTACCCTTGGGATATTTTCTGTAGGTATATCCTTGTCCACCAAACAACCAAGAAAATGACAAGGGACTAGGCAGGTAGGTAGGTATATATGATAAGGGAATACATTACTATGTGTCTGTGCCGTAACCATCAAAGTATCCATCATCGTCATCGTCCTTCTCATCGGGCTCTTTTTTATTGACATCAACAAAGTAATTGTAGGTAACTGAAATGGCTACCACCAGTGCTGGTGCGCCTGACAAAAATATGAAAATATATATAGAAACATACTGATTGGTCCGGCGACTATGTTCAGTAGATAGGTGATAGTAATAATTGTACATAACAAAACAAAATGGTCACAGATGTATATCCAATAATTATGAACACGGTCTAGGAGTATCGTTTTGCTTGTGGATGTGTTATGAAATTTTATCAATATTAATGTTGTCATTCAGAAAATATAATTATTATCAATGAATAAGAAAGTGGTGTTAGATATCCATAGACACCGTATCACATTGATGTCATATTTCAGTAAAGCTATAAGAGACCAAACCTGTCTTACCATATCCGACCAGGTGATAGTAGATCAGCCTGTTCATTTTTAAGTTGAAGACCTTGACCAGTAAGACGTACAGCTCCACTCCTTCTACACACATCCAGGTGAACACGGCCAGGAACAGGTAGTGAAGCACGATGGCGATCACCTCACAAACAACCTGTGAAGTAACAATAGAGGGAAATGTAGTTGGGTATGTGGTAGCTATACTGTCACATACAAGCTGTGCAGAAACAATAGAGGGACATGTAGTTGGTTATGTGGTAGCTTTACTGGCAGAGTAATAGGATGTAACATTACATGCGGGAAATATATCGTAACTATTCTGCAAGTATTGCACGATAGATGTGGTGTAAAATACATTTCATTTCAACATATGACCGAAAATAAACTAAAGCTATTCAAAACAGTTTCCACAATCTCCCCGAGCTTTTACCATGCTTGTAAAACATGGGACATGTCATTAGACACTGTCTTCAAAGAGGTCAAATACCACAATAATGAATGGTAGAAATATTAAGGTTAAGCATCACATTTATGCACTATTAGTAGATTCACTGTTCCCGTGTGATTAGCCTCTGGGCACTAGTTTACAGATGAGTAAAGTTTCTGTACCGCGTTTTCTGTTTTGTCTACTGCAGCCAGGAAGACTACTTCAGCGACCAGCAGACAGATACACAGGTTTGCATGGATGATGGTTCTGGTGCAGCGGACTCGTCTGAAACAAGATGGCGGATACCAGAAACATGACCAATGCGATTCTAGTTGATATTGTTGCTACTGGTTTATAACTTTATAGCAACAATTGCTGTATGAATTTTTACAAGTACAAACGACAATTTAGAAAAGGTCTCACCTAAACCCAAGAAAGACGCAAATGCAGAAGAAGAGACACACGATGGAGATGATACAGCCGATGTAGGTGATCACACTCAGGGCGAATGAATGCTGAAAATATCATCAACAACTTATTTAGTTTCACCACGGAGTCGAGGATATTCGTTGCTTTGTGATCAAACCCAAAGGGTGCTTAAACTGAAGAGGAACACTAGAAAGGTTCCATGAATGATAGTTTGGTAACAATCTAAGACAGTAATTTCCTTATTTGACACACCTGTTCTCCTATCGTACTGTGCTGTCCTGTCGTGTCCACCAGAATAGCGAAGCTTGTGAGATGGTTGCACTCACAGATCGTGTGGGTTGTGTTTGTCGTAGCCGTAGTACAACCCTCACCCGACCAATTGCTGCAACCATAATGGTATACGTAGTAGCAATAAGGCCAACGTCACATCGGCATCATATGTTACATAAATGTCATTATATAAAACAGTAATTAGAATGACATTAGTCAAATCTTATTCATGTTTACCAGTACGAAGCAACACTAACGATAATAGACACACTCACCCGTGGAAGACGTCCCAGAAAACACATTGTGTCGAACCGTTGAATGTCTGCAAGAGAAATGTGATCATACTGCATAGTTTTTCTACTTTTCAACTTCCCATTCAAATTTAGACATTTTTGTGATAAGATATAATAAATCATATATTGATATATATATAATGAATCAATACTATGATGTAAGTGATCATGGTGAATAGGGAAGAAGTACCTGCTCGGTATGCTCCAAAACGATGGTAACATTACCATCGATACTGGGTCCAGTGGTAGAGTTTCCGTTTACTAGTGTAGTGTTTACTAGGGTTGCCGAAATGATCCTGGAGTTGACGGTCCTGTTCACTGACTTGGGTTTGAAATACTGTCCAACATTTTTGTACATTGCAGAGATGACATGATGTTGTGTTCTCGGCAGGGTGATTCCGTCTTTTACATCGGCCCAAAAAGACGAATTACCAAGATCCGGAAAGGTGGCTGGTCCCGTAGTGCCATTCTTGATTGCCATCACTGTGTGTAAACATTAGACACAAAATGATTTCATCTTTGGCAGAGATATATTGTGCTAACAGGACCTTGTATGATTGTGCATTATCATGATATTGACTGGATCATGAGGCTGTTATAAGAGTAGTATGATTTGTTCTCGTACATAATAACTGCAACATTTGCATCTCTGTCTCTGTCTGTCTGTCTGTCTGTCTGACTGTCTGTCTGTCTGTCTCTGACTGACTGACTGTCTGTCTCTGTCTCTCTATCTCTCTCTCCCATTTCGTTCTACAGAGGGTCTCATCGATCAAATGTACCTATATTTTCCTCAGAGATCCAGTGGGATTCATTCGGCACAGTCCTGGCCAAAAGTATACCTGCCCTCTCTGAACTATCTACTAGTAGAATTCCTGATGCCTCTTCAGACCAGGGGTCCTATAGGTTATAAGACACACAAAAAAAACTTTGAGAAGATAACACTTCTTTGACACTAATAGTGAAAATAAGAAATGCAGGTGAAAAGCGACAAATGTCCAAAATCATCAGTTACAAGTACGTACCTCTGAAATGTTTTTCCACGATAAGTTAGTGTGGTTTCTCAACAGAGCACTTCCACATGCTATCATTGCCTGTAGAGAAATTGCCAGATATATAATATGTCATTATGACGATAATGAAGGTAGATAGTCGTAATAACGTACATTAATTGACATTAATGTCTCTCGACGAGCACTAACCTTTGCAAAACCAACGGCCTGTTCTCTCGTTATTTCTTGAGACTCGTTGTTCAATCGACGTTCTTGAGCCTCCACCAGACTCCGGAGTAGCCCAATACTTCTTCTGACGTGACGTCCTAATATGTTCATGTCTGCTTCAACCAGACTTTCTGCTAAATCAGAAATGATGTCCGCTGGATTAGCTCCTTTCTTAAGCTGAAACATAATACAAGTGAACAATACTTACATACATGCATTGATAGTTCTACCGGGTTTTGGAACGACTGGTTGACGTTCTTTGTCCCAAACCATGATATAACCACCGGTGACTGTCTGTCACCTTCCTCATGGGAATTTTGACTGGGTTAAGAAGGCTGTATGGACCAGAAAATCTACCCCCCGTTAATAATAACCATGATAAGGGGTCCAAACTCAGTCTCGTTTGGGACTGCATTCTTTCCAATGCAGCAGCGACACCTACATGTAGCAACAGTATGAAGTGAACCAGTCAGAATTGTTGCCCTGAGGAAGGAGGCAGAACTCGTTGTCCTGTATACTGGTTGTGTACATTGCACTTTTGGGATTAACGGGTAAATATGATCTTGTAGTGGGAAGGTAACAATGCTTTTTGTCACAGTAACTGTTGTTTCTTGCATTGAACGTGGCTTCAACGTAAAGGAGGTGTTTGCTTTGGAAATGTTAACAGTAATGTTTAAAGGCCATGAAGCAAAATATAAAAGGAACTTTATCACAGTTTATCTTTACCCAGATAACGTGCGTTTTGTTTACCTCATTTTCAAGCTGTTGGACCCTCTGTGATGTACACTGAATCATGCATACGCTTCGTTTGCCGTTTCCTGTGCAGTTGCAGCGGGGGATGACTGAAAACAGCAAATCAATTTCAAGTTTGGAGACGAAGCAGTTAAGTACGGCTGTGTGCCAACATTGACCAAAATTACCATCCATTCATAATAGATAGTTAGAATATTAAGTAGTCAGTAGTATCCTATCATTTTAGTATCAACTTTGATATGCATTATATGTAATTATGTATATATCTGTATCCTACCTAATTATTGTATATAACCTAACGAAAAGACACATGATATATGAATCACAGCTCCTAACAAAAATATTGATTGACCCAAACGTTTTAAGCATCCGATACTAAGTGTGGGTACGTACAAATGTTAAAACCGTACCTTTAGTGCGTTCACAGGCCTGCTTCAGTTTACTTGTATTGATGCGTCTACAGTTTGTTCTTGGGTTTGCCATCCCCTGTATTGTTGGGTTTGCCATTCCCTGTATTGTTGGGTTTGCCATCCCCTGTATTGTTGGGTTTGCCGTCCTCTGTGTTGTTGGGTTTGCCATTCCCTGCATTGTTGGGTTTGCCATTCCCTGTATTGTTGGGTTTGCCATTGCCTGTATTGTTGGGTTTGCCATTCCCTGCATTGTTGGGTTTGCCATTGCCTGTATTGTTGGGTTTGCCATTGCCTGTATTGTTGGGTTTGCCATTCCCTGCATTGTTGGGTTTGCCATTCCCTGCATTGTTGGGTTTGCCGTTCCCTGTATTGTTGGGTTTGCCATTCCCTGCATTGTTGGGTTTGCCATTGCCTGCATTGTTGGATTTGCTGAAGTGGACATGTTATTTATTGGAAGAAATGACATGTAAGTCATTTAAAGAACTGTCAATATAATAGAAGAAATAGAGGAAATACACACACACACACACACACACACACATTTAAATGATGGAACTTCATAGTGATATTCATTTTATTTACAAGTGATGGGTATTTTAGATATGCATGTAAATTTTGTAATCATTGATACCTAATGATACATTTATTAGGCAAAGGTATTAGGTCGTTGAATTTTTGTATCTTTCCATGAACTTCTGGATCATTTGCCGTTGGGATTTATCGTAAAAATAAAGTCATCAGTGGGCTTGTTTCCTGGTCCAATGTTTCCGGTGTGATTTTTTTGTCATAACCAGTACGTAGCTACAAACTAAACATATGACCACAACAGCAGCCGTCTGAAATTAAACAGGTGTTGTCATTTTCAAGTTGAACAAAAAACAGGTCTGTTAGTGAATCTTGTTATTTTGTCACTCTCTTCCAGGCTTGGTCTAGGTTTAGTTAAAGGTTAAAAAAGTTACCTGCTGCCTTTCGTGCTTTATCGGAGCGCAAGCAAACCCCGTACGATAGCTTGCTTACCGAAACTACTGTTTGCACATTCTGAAAGAGAAGCTTGATGATGTCCCACTTTCTGTACACGCAGATTCAAATCATGGTGACGTCACCAGATCTGACGAGTTACTCAGTGAGGTTATAGCCCGAGGCATACTTTCCAACACAGAACCTGAATTGTCACACCCGCTATTAGTTTGGCCTATGACTTATGACTTGTTTTTTTAGAGGGCTGGGCAAGGGAACTTTAAGATTTACTTTCAGCAATGTATTTTACAAATGAGTGATGAGTACTAAAGTTACCGTACTTGTTCAAGCATATTCAAGCTAGGGATGTCCTACATCTGTGAATCTCATCAATGTATGTGTCATGTACATTATTGATGTAACAGAAGTTATACATATATTAAACGAATTTGGGGGTCAACTCTGATGAACCTCCGACCAAATATTAGTCCTGAATATTGAGTCGTTAGTCAGGGAAACTTTGTAGAAATCGCCGTACGTGGCCTATAACTATTGATTACGTCATCATAACGTCATAATGATTTGCTACATTGATTATCGTCTTGCAATTAGGTACTTGGAGGGAAAAAGTCGATCCACACTTAGCTCTACATGTACGTACACGTACTATTTTTGATACATCCCAAAAATCCATCATCCTTGCCCTGTTACTACCTTAAGCGCTGTCATTGTTTCTCGCCCTTTCCACATACATTAGCTAATGAGTAATAGACAAAGTTTTGTGTTAGAATTTTCGCTCTCATACTTTGTAATACAAATCAGCCTAGGTTAGAATAGTTATGGACAACTGTTTGAAAATGACCATACCGGTATCAGTTGCTGAGCTGGCGTCTGAACTACCGCCAGTTCGTCTTCTTCGTCTTCTTAAGCTTCTTGCAGACCTTGGTTGGTGTTTAGTTGTTACGATGTTAAAACAGGAGAGGCAGTACACGAGTACTGCAACCTTGATGAGGTTGGCATGTAATGTTGTCATGTTGAACCCGATCCGGTGTTGCCTGTTGACGTTGTGTTAAACCCCGCAAGTCGAATAATGTCGTAAATTTCTCCACAAAGAAATGTTAAACTGCTGCAGCTTCTTCTGTTTAGGTAATAGACTAAAACCCACAAACTTTGATAGCGTCTGTGTAGAGCTTTCAAGAATGGAAGTTCTCAATGAGGAAGTTCCTCTCCTGTTTTCTCACGTATATTATGCACAGCTCGCGTCATCGTGACGTGTCTCACCCGTCCAACCACATATATCTTTCTCTTTAACCCTGAACAATTGACCTTTCTGTCCGAGTCATCTCAAAACCGTCAACACTCACTAAAGAGAGTGAGACAGCAGAAAAGTAGCAACAAACAGCTCTGTGATTTTTAATGTATGTCGTGCGTGCATATTTTTACTAGTACCGGGGAGAGGGGCGATTTCTTTGCATTTTATGTGCTGTTTATAATATACGACGACAAGGCCAAACATTTGCTGTTAAAACAAACGGAAAACTCTATCATAGCTGATTATGTATGGACGATGAAAAGGGGGAAATAATATCAAGATGATGTTCATTTTCAGATGAAGAATATTTACCTTTAACAATGTTTGCAACATAAAACTATATCATCTCTGCTAATTTGACATGACAATTGACAATTATGGCTGTCAAAGTTAGTAGTAATTCGTATGCATAATTCTGAATGTACATTCTGGGTCTTTGACTACTAGTGAAAATAGCACAAATATTTCAATATGTAATGGAAATTGTCAACTAAATAAAATTAATGAAAACTGAAACAAAGATGGCAAACATACCTCACTTCACAATGTACATATTTAGTTAACCTTAATACACAGGCCTCAAAATTAACTTTTCTTGACAAAAACTACATTGTAGTACACAAGGATTTTCATTAAATATCATTTCACCGTGCAACTTTTAAAAAATCATCAATCTTTAAACATACTACTGAACTGAAAGCTTGAAGAGTAAAAGTAAAAAAATTGTCTAATAGACAAAATGTTTGTACAATAAAGAAGTGCAGTCACTGTGGTATTAGTTTACTATTCTAACATTCACAGTTTCACTCATGACATCAAAACATTTACAACATGACCTGCATCAAATAGCAACATTATAGCAGCTTTGTTTGTACTGCATTTCATAACTGGGTTGAGACTCAGTAACCAATTCAATCAATGTTCCAAGAGATATTTGCACTTCAGACATCCAGGTGTTTAACACGTTCTTGAGAAAACCTTGATACCCATGTTTTTTAAGTGGTGGTCTTTGAGTAGAACTATGACGTATGAGTGTTTATATTACATTCTATACATTAAATAAAAAAATCTACGCCGTGATGCAGCAAGTCAGTGTTCTTTATGTCTCATAGAAAACCATGAGGTGACTTAGAAGGCTCTGAGTCCGTCCCTTTACTGAATGCAGGAAGTTCCTCATACTGTGGTCCCAAATCCTGGTACACGTTCTCCTGCCCCTCCAGGAGGGATGTATAATGGTTTGTCCCTGTGGGTTCTGCATACGGTAGCGGTGGCGCCGATGGGACTTGTCGATCCTGGGTGCCGTCTAACTGCGTGTAGACGTTGTCTGCATCTGGAGAGCTGTACAGGTTGTCCTGAGGCACCTGGTCGTAGGGTTGGTAGGGCTGGTAGGTTGCATCACGTTTTGGTGCAGAGGGAACAACTACATCGGTGTAGGCATACTCTGGTTGATTCTGGTGGAAAAAGAATACTTTAATATGCAGTTTTTTTTACATTCAAAACTATGCATGGACAAATAAAGGATAGGGGGAGGGATAAAAAAAACAGGGGGCAACAAATTTCATTATTTCTCACACTTTTGGTGTGTATACAGTAATGCCAATTTGCATAGCATGTTTATGGTTAATTACCATAGGTGTATATAGAGGGAGAGCTATCATTTCTTCTAACTCTGTTTTTAACCTTCCATCCTACTGAGGGTGCCATTTGCCACCAAATTTGAGGGAAGGCTGCAAGGACAAGGTTAATTCAGCTCTGATATTAAGTGAACAAAAGGTTTCACATAAATATAGTTACTACATGTAATAACAATTATCAATGAGCATTAAATATCCAAGAAAAGAGTAGCTCATCAGAACAGCAGACTTACCCCCTCGTAGATAGCGTTGTCCACACTGCCTCCTGTGTTATATCCCACATATGAAGCATTGTCCACATATCCTGTTGAATCTGAACTAATCCTGACATTCTGACTCAGAGGGGCTGATATGTGGACACGGTACCCTGGGTTTTGCAGTGTACTGACTGTTACCTAAGAAAGGAAAACACATGAAGTATAAATCTATTATAATGTATACTACTGACTCTTTAAGATTTGCAAACAATTCTAAAACCACAAATGAAATGCAGCTTACAGAGAATCATCTAAAATACATGTACATCTAAAATGTAGACATCATACTTTCAGCATTTTGACAATTATATATACTGTGTTGGAAAATTACCTGAGGGCCTCCTGATGAAGGTTTCCTACAAAAATAAGAACAAACATTTATACATTAAAATCAAAGGCACAAAACGTAAGAAATAGTCACAACAGTTTTGCTTACCTTATTTATCATTACCTAATAAATCAGCAACTGATGCAGCATCAGTATAATCCCAAGGTATGAACAATTTCAAAACTAAGGTGTTCAACACAGTCTTGACAAGGCCTTTATTCTAAGAGTGATGAGAGTTGCCGTTATACCTATCACGAGCAAAGCAAAATTTTCTAAACACTAAATCTCACAATGTAAAGAACTGACACATACCCTGTGTTCTGTTTATGTTTCCTTCTCCAGAAGAAGACAAACCCTCCCAGTAAGGCCAGGACAGCGATGACAGCCACTGCCACGCCACCTGCTACAGCTGCTGTGTTCCCCCCTCCTGCCCCGCTGTTCCTGCCTCTGTCACCTGGAACAGTGCACACTAACATGTTACAGCTGATTTGATCCCTAGTGTAATCTCAATCGTAAAACAGAATGAAATATCCCCTGATCATCTATTCAATGTCATACAAAAGAATTACAAGATTAGTTAATATAATACACATTGTACACACACATGTAAGATAATAAAAAGATGGAATTTCAATTTTCACAAGGTTTTCCAGGTACTGTATTAAGAGCTCTGGAATTTGCAATAAAAGCATTTAAAGAATGTGAGGAGAGTGTTTAGTACAGGTTCATGATAAAATACACAATATTTGCCATGTAGTATATTATACAGAGAAATGTACAGCAATAATTATGATTGAAATTTGCATGTATGTCGCCAGTCTTTTACTGGGAATTTTTTCTGGTCAGAAAAACATATACAAGAAAGAACATAATCATTATTTATACCATTTCCTGAAGTAGTGTTTGCATGTGTTGTCTCTGACCCAGGTGCTGTAGTGATGCCTGACCCATGTGTTGTAGTGACACCTGCCTCAGGTGCAATAGCTGGTTAAAGCACAGAATAAAGTTAGACAGGCATACAATGTAATAAAAGTTACAACAACAACAACAAGGCTGTATGACAGTAAATTGACATTGAAAGTAGATAGCACAAACTACTGCTAAGGTTTTTAAAAGACTCTACACATGACGAGTGTGATTACTATGCAGATTGAAAGAAAAAAAAGTTAAACACTCCAGCAAAAAATATAAGAATAGAATTTACAAGCATGCACAGTAAAAATTACATTTACATAGTGTAAAGAAGACATCATTCACAGCAAACGTATAAATAAATAATGTACACGTTTTAACAAACAACACAGAGTATGGTCCATTCAACATGTAATACGGATCTTCATGCAGACTTTCAAAGAATTCCAGAGATTTACAGATCAAAGGACTTACTGTGTTGGTCCCTCTGTGTAGTGGTAACTCTGCCCGAGGGTGTGGTCACTGTGTATGGAGTACAGCCTGGTCCTGGTGTGTCTGAAACACACAAGTATCAATAACATGTGGCACACCATGTCATTTTGAATGGTTAAAGATAGCCCAGCAATTCAGCCCAGGGATAAGTATTCAAATTAAAGTAGAGCCATATGAAAAGAAGGGATTTTGCAGCATGTAAACATGCTGAAACCTGTAATTCATTTTGAAACTGTAATTTGTTTCAAAGATATAGTTACACATTTTTTTTACAACAATAATAGTAAGTTACATAGGTAAAAAGACATTTCTACATATACCCACTGATGCATGTACATGATTTATAATTGCCAGGAAAACTGTACTCAGTGTCTGGTGAAACAAAACCTTAATCCATTGTGGCCATTTCCAAATACATTAATTTTGTACTTAGAAGTCACATTACATGTATCTTCCCCTCCACCCAAGCATTAAGCATCTTGTCTATAGTGGTCTCTATATGGTCACCCCTGTCTGCTGTTACCATTTTGGTCAAGTCTATTAAGTGGTCACTAAATACAGGTTTGATTGACCTTTGACCACTTGTTAGACAAGAATAGCACTGAGATATTTAAGACAACTGTTACATTATATAAATGCAGAACACAGTCTACCAGCATGTAACACTTACAGAGATGAGTTCCTTCTGTCTTGAAGCGGAGACACTGTGACTCGGTGTACTGTCTGTTGCCCCACCTGCGACGTGTACAGGTGATGTCCAGGTGGATGACCAGTCCTGCTAGTCGTGTGACATCATAGGAAACATCCCACTGGAACAAACAACAAACAAATCAGCTTCCTGTTGACACACTAGTTGGCGCAAAACAGTAAATCAAACTTTTGTTGTCACAAAAGTTGATCTTTCACCATTAGGCCTAGGTAGTTTTTTTTTTCTTTGGAAAATTCTAGATTAACAAAGGAGGTTTGAAATCAGAATGTTTCAACTGGATGGTGCTGAGAGTAAAATTAAATTGAAAACCCAGGCATTACATAGTTTAATTCTATACTGTAACATCACTTCCTTTGGGAACACATAGGAAGTTAGACAACACAGCTTCCTGTGACACTTTTGACTTAATTACTGCAGGATATTTTACTTAAAATTCTTTTGAAACTGGTGGTAAACATATAACGTTACACATGGTAGCCTTTCTTCTTAATATATATATAGATAACCTCTTGCTTTAGTGTGATGTTCGACTTCCAAAAATGTGACAGCAGAAAATGTGGTTATTAAGGGTACTGATTCCTATAACCTCAACTGTCATACCTGCTGGGTACCCCATAGACCCATATTAAAAAATTGTTATCAAGGCCTCAAGAATGTTTTAAATATCTGTGTGCCTACCTTGGGGATTACAAATGCTGCCTGGTGGAATTATGAGAGCCGATTTTACACTTACCGAGACAAACCAATGTCTCTGACAGGTTCTCTTTCTGCCATATTCTTCATAATCCAAGACAAAAACGTCATCCGGGATGTCTCTGCCAAGACACGACAGATCCTTCCACTCTCCGTCCTGCAGGTATGTCTGTGAGGTGACATCGCAGGACCAGCTGACGGAGCAGGAGTTCGGAGTGACCCCTGAGCCTGGCCAGTCGTCTTCCTCCCCCCAGTCTATCCGGCCAGTTTGACCGTCGCTAGGTGTGACCATGTACAGGGTCTGCCCTTCATCTTCAAATTTCCATTCACAATCTGGAGTAAGTCAAATATAATGATTACTTCTTTCCATCAAGTCTTTTACTTGTCTGTCTGTGTGTGTACGTGTGTTCTGTGTGTGTGTGCTTTGTGTGTGCGTTTCTGCAATTTCCAATATACAAAGTGATACATTTCTGTCTTTGGTACTAATAAGGATCACAAAGCACCATGTGTACAAAAAGTGAAGTCCGTCATCTCTTATTTGCTACCTAAAATGTTCTGATATTTAATGTTTTCTACCATTTGCTTTTGTTCGTTTGTTTTGACCATATATGCTTATCAACCTAGATCAGCATTCTGGACATGTCAACTAGTTAATTATGCAGTTCAATCAAGATAAAGCCTTCCTAACCAGAAAAGGATATTAATTTAATGATAATAATAGTACTTGTTGAAGACAATTAAATCAACCTACTCCCAACAAACATGAATTCGGCAGAGTTACCTGAATCTGCGGGAACATTTGTACAGGAGTCCTCGTCAGACAGGTAGGTGTTGAACCAGGTGTAACACTGGCACATGCACACCTGTCTGCCACCTGCCTCTCTCCAGGTGAGGCGGTTAGCACGTCTCTCGGTACAGTAACCGTTCCATGCCGCCGTACAGGCGTACACCGTTCTCTCGGTAAAGATGTCGCCTTCGCCGGTCCTTGTCATGTTAAGAACCGGAGTCCAATCTCCTTCTGTCCGTAAGATAATTTGAAACAGCACGATAACCAGAAAAGCGTCCTTCATGATTTTTCACACCAGCGTAACCTACTTGTGGGCAAAAATACGGTTACTTCAATCACAGCTTTAGAACTGAAGCTATAACGTTTTCGCTAACAGTCGTCTTTCACAACTTGGTGGTGTCTGAGACTTATCCTTGCTGGCAGACTTAAAAGAGTTGTTATTGTTGCCAAAAGAATGTTAAACCCAGCTCTGACGTCACAGGTCTGGTGTTGTCACCGACACGCCGGCGGTCATCCGGGTCAGCAAACTCCAGCAAACTGACGTCTCAGGCGGGCAAACTTCCTTCCGGATCAAAAATTCCCGCGCAAACGTTGTTAATCTTTCTTCAAATTCACAGAGATGCGCAAATACTAGTTCACGAGGAAGTCAGTTCGGTATTTGAAGCGAATTTCTTGTGTAGCTGCAAGCCGTACCAATGTGTGGCATCCGCGGCAACATGATCACCTTGATGCATATTCACAACAAAGAGGTATCGCCAGCTCAAATTTCCACAGAGCAGCCACGATGAACAGCCACGCTGCTATTGGTCAGGACACTGGACTGCTACTCATATGCTGCAGCAATACCTCAGTTTCGGTAGTATGGGGAGGGCTACCTGCGTCTTTCCCTCGATTTACCTGCAAAAACGTCAAATTTTACGTCTATATTCACTGCATTTGTGTTGCTCTTACCTCTGGGGACAAGGAAAAGCACAGTTCAGATCATATTTGAGGGGATTTAAGCTCTGAGGACCAGGTAACACTCCATATAGCTAACAGTTAACGTTAAAAATTATATCAAGGAGATTTGATTTTAACAATTTAAGCCTCCTTGAATATATTTGCATAACTTTTAGCCTTTTAGCTCTGGGGACCAGATAATGCACCTTATAAATAGTATAGAAACTCCTTGTATTAAACTAGGACTTCCTAGAACCTCCTTGTATTACTTAAAGCTGATATTTGTATGGCTTCTAGTACCTATGGGGACCAAATTTATTAACAGTAACGTTAAAATTTGGTTAACAATATTTGTGTGTCACCTTGTGTTTTATAAGTCTTGGGATAAGACACCGTACAGGTAATAATTGCGCGGCTCTTAGGTTTGGGGATCAGGTAAGGTACCGTACAGGTAATAATTGCGTGGCTCTTAGGTCTGGGGATCAGGTAAGGTACCGTACAGGTAATAATTGCGCGGCTCTTAGGTCTGGGGATCAGGTAAGGTACCGTACAGGTAATAATTGCGCGGCTCTTAGGTCTAGAGACCAGGTAAGGCACCATACAGGTAATAATTGCGTGGCTCTTAGGTCTGGGGACCAGGTAAGGTACCGTACAGGTAATAATTGCATGGCTCTTAGGTCTGGGGATCAGGTAAGGTACTGTGCAGGTAAAAATTGCGCGGCTCTTAGGTTAAAGGACCAGGTAAGGTACCGTACAGGTAAAAATTGCGCGGCTCTTAGGTCTGGGGACCAGGTAAGGTACCGTACAGGTAATAATTGCGCGGCTCTTAGCTCTAGAGACCAGGTAAGGCACTGTACAGGTAAAAATTGCACGGCTCTTAGGTCTAGGGATCAGGTAAGGTACCATACAGGTAATAATCGCACGGCTCTTAGGTCTGGGGACCAGGTAAAGTACCGTACAGGTAAAAATTGCGCGGCTCTTAGGTCTGGGGATCAGGTAAGGCACCGTACAGGTAAAAATTGCGCGGCTCTTAGGTCTGGGGATCAGGTAAGGCACTGTACAGGTAAAAATTGCGCGGCTCTTAGGTCTGGGGATCATGGAAGGTACCGTACAGTTAATAATTGCGCGGCTCTTAGGTCTAGAGACCAGGTAAGGCACTGTACAGGTAAAAAATGCGCGGCTCTTAGGTCTGGGGACCAGGTAAGGCACTGTACAGGTAATAATTGCGCGGCTCTTAGGTCTGGGGATCAGGTAAGGTACCGTACATGTAATAATTGCGTGGCTCTTAGGTCTGGGGACCAGGTAAGGTACCGTACAGGTAATAATCGCGCGGCTCTTAGGTCTGGGGACCAGGTAAGGTACCGTACAGGTAAAAATTGCGCGGCTCTTAGGTCTGGGGACCAGGTATGGCACCGTACAGGTTAATATATGCGTGGCTCTTAGGTCTGAGGACCAGGTAAGGCACCGTACAGGTAAGTAATATTTGCACGGCTCTTAGATTTGGGGACCAGGTAAGGCATTGTACAGGTAATGATTGTGCGGCTCTTAGGTCTGAGGACCAGGTAAGGCATCGTACAGGTTATAATTTCGCGGCTCTTAAGTCTGGGGACCAGGTAAGGCACTGTACAGGTAATATATGCACGGCTCTTAGATTTGGGGACCAGGTAAGGCATCGTACAGGTAATAATTGTGCGGCTCTTAGGTCTGAGGACCAGGTAAGGCACTGTACATGTAATGTATGTGTGGCTCTTAGATCTGGGGACCAGGTTAGGCACTGTACAGGTAATATTTGCAGAGCTCTTAGCTCTGGGGACCAGGTAAGGTACCATACATTTGCATGCGTGCATGGGGCCCCTTTTTATCTGGGGACCAGGTAAGGCACTACTGTATAGGTATATTTGCATTGTCCTTTATCTGGGGACCAACTAAGAGACTATACAGGTAATGTTTGATTGTAATGGTTCATAGCTCTTGAGACCCGGTAAGACCATACACTTGATATACGTTTGGTCTTTTGTACCTAATTTTTTGTTTATTGACATCTCTGTATATATACTGCTGGCCTAGATTATTTTTCTCTTTTTTTCAGTGCATTTGCCAAAAAGGAGAAACTGATCACACAGCAGGAGCTGGAGATGTCTATGCATCACATTCTGGAATTCTTGGAAGTGCCAGCTTTACTTCTCAACAAGAACATGAACGCTGAACCCTGACTTATGTTATATTAATTCTGAAAGGTTGTTTCTCCAAACGGTAGAATAACTAGAACTTAGTAGAAGTAAATTGTATGATGAACTGTACAAAAATTCTGCATTTGTTTGTTTGTTTGTTTTCTATTTGTCTGAGTAGCATGTACATGTATAACAATATTTATAAAACTGTTTAAGGCCATACCAATTTAATTTCTTGGTTAACGGCTTCACCCGCTTCATTTTTTTCTGATTTGCAAATAAAAAAAAAATTCAGAATCAACCTCAAAATGCTCATATTTTGCCCTTAACAGTTAAAAACAGTCATTTTCATCCTACTTGTTACAGTTATTCCATCTTTCAATGCAATGGTATCATTAAAAGTTCAAAATCCATTGTTTAAATTTTGAACCAGCCTAGTGTGTTTACTTCATGGCTCCTATCGTACCATTTTGGGCCATAATAGGATGCCTAGGCCTGTTTTTATTTTTATTTTTTCGCCCGCCCACTCCATTATTTTTCTAGAAAAATCTGTTAACCAAGAAATTGAATTAGTGTGGCCTAAGGCATAACATTTTACAGTAACTAGATTCATTACCTCTAGTACCTGTGGACATTTCCCGTATATTGATAATGCAAAGTATATTATTTTTAGCACAATTCAATTATTATTAAAGCTGAAAATACACCTTTTCACTCTTGTTTCAGTAGACTTTTATTTTCAGTGTAGTTCAAGTCAGTATACAATACATGAACTGCAAATTTTGATTTTGTATTTTGTCGGTGCCTTATAAGCCCATATGGGCTGGGCGGCATTTTGATCGCAATGGCACGATAATAAACATTCATTCATTCATTCATTCATTCATTCATTCATACACAGCATCAAAATCATGTATCCCACCATAATACTTGAACGCACGCCTGTCATTAACAATCCCAGTACTTCTAGTTAATTGTAGTGACCGAGTAAAGACTAAAACGACTGTAGAATGAATGGTCTGTGCAGTTTGGAGGTAATGTAGGAATTAGGAATTTACTTGATGAAAAGGACAGCCTTAATCCGTTTAGGAATTTTTCCATAGTTGCACTCAAGCTTTCTTGAGGAACGTAAACCTTTGTTGACCAAATACGGTATCAGATATGGAATTTATACAATAACTTTATAAGCCTCCATGAATATATCAGCCGAATTTGAAAGAAATTCGTTCAGATTTAAGCGAAAAACGCAAACCGACACGTTTTAAGCTCGCGCAAAGCGAGGTTGCCTTCAAACGGCTATGTTTCACATAGACAAATCTAGGCCGATTTTGACCGCATCACGCAAAATCGCGTTTTCCTTTCTAGACCGAGAAGGAAATAATATTTTTGGATGAAACTTGGACAACAATATCCTGACATACGTATCTATCTCTGCTGTGAACAGATTTGCTCTGTCTTGAATTTTCGTAAAGCTGTAGACAATTCATCTTTCTTCATTTTTCGACCATGCCCAAAAATTTCCCTGTAATGTGCGGTATTGCAATGATAATGATTAGGGATTTACATTATGAAATAAACAATCTTTTATATTCGCCTATTGAGGACCTTTCAGTGATATCACCACGTCCTTTTTCAGCTGTTGCACTTATTCGTTTCGGGGGAATGTAAACTTCTATTTTCAAAAGTTGTGAGAGATGTATGGTTTCATGAAGAAATACCAATTGAACATAACTCAATGACTAATTATGACATCAGCATGGGAACTCATACAGTAACTTTGTAAGCTGTCATAAACATACCAGCCGAATTTGAAAGAAATCCAAACGGTTTTAGACGAGTAACGGAAACCGACACGTTTTAAGCTCGCGCAAAGCGGGGTCGCCTTCAAACGGCTATGTTTGGCAGAAACAATTCTAAGTCGATTTTGATCACATCACGCAAAATTGCGTTTTCCTTTCTAGACCAAGAAGGAAATAATATTTTTGGATGAAACTTGGACAACAATATCCTGACATACGTATCTATCTCTGCTGTAAACAGATTTGCTCTGTCTTGAAGTTTCGTAAAATTACAGGCAATTCATCTTTATTCCTTTTTCGGCCATGCCCCAAAATTCCTCTTTTATGTGCGGTATTGCAATGATAAGGTAGAGTTAGGGATTTAGATTATGAAATAGACATAATCTTTTATATACGCATATTGAGGACCTTTCAGTGATATCACCACGTCCCTTTTCAGCTGTTGCACTTATTCGTTTCGGAGGAAAGTAAACTTCTATTTTGGAAAGTTGTGAGAGATCTATGCTTTCATTAAGACATTTTAATTGTAAATAACTCGATGACTAATTATGACATCAGCATGGAAACTCATACAGTAACTTTGTGAGCTTTCATGAACATACCAGCCGAATTTGAAAGAACTCCAAACAGTTTTAGGCGAGATACAGAAACTGACACGTTTTCAGCTCGCGCGAAGCGAGGGCGCCTTTCAACGGCTATGTTTCGCATAGACAAATCCAGGCCGATCGATTTTGACGGCATCACGCAAAATTGCGTAGACCGAGAAGAAAATTATATTTTTGCATGAAATTTGAACATAAGTATCCTGAAATACTGGTCTATCTCTGCTGT